TTTAGAGTTTATTAGAGAATTAAAAAATATTGGAGAATCGGGGGCACTTAATAATAAAATACATTATGCTATACCAAAACAAATATTTTCCGCATTACAAGATAGTGCTCTGCCTTTTTACGAGCAAATTAATATTATTAATTTTATTGCTTCCCCTAATAAAAATACTATAAAATTAATTAAGCCTATTGACTGATGGAGGCTTTTCTGTCTTTATATCAATCTATGATTTTAATGGTACCTAATATGCAAGAATTTGACCTAATCGTGATTGGCAGTGGACCCGGAGGCTATACTGGAGCAATAAGAGCTGCTCAACTCGGTATGAAAGTTGCCTGTATAGAAAAAAGAACTACTCTTGGAGGTACTTGCCTAAATGTGGGATGTATTCCTTCAAAAGCCCTACTAAATTCTTCAGAAAAATATTATGAAGTAATGCACAAATTGTCTGATGTAGGGGTTATAGCTAGTGCTAAACTTGATTTACCCAAAATGATGTCTAAAAAAAATCAAGTAGTAGCAGAATTATGTAAAGGAATAGAAAGCTTATTTGCCAAAAATAAAATTATTCGAATCGATGGGACAGCCAAGCTTCTCTCGAGCAATATTGTAGAAATCAATAATGAGAAGACAACCACACAAATTTTGGCTAAAAATATTTTAATTGCTACCGGCTCAGATATTATTGAAATCCCTAATATTGTAGTTGATGAACAATTTATTGTCTCTTCAACTGGAGCTTTAAATCTGACTGAAGTACCCGAAAAGTTGGTAGTAATTGGTGGTGGTTATATTGGGTTAGAGCTTGGATCAGTATGGAATAGGCTTGGGTCGCAAGTAACAATTATAGAATATGCAGATACAATTGTACCAGCTTTAGATAAGGAAATTATTAATCAATTTGCTAAAATATTACAAAAACAATCTATTGAATTACGTCTGAATACGAAAGTAGTATCAGCAGAAAAGAAAGCAGGAAAAGTTCTATTACAGCTAGAAGACCTAAAGAGTAGCACAGCCCAACAAATCACCGCTGATATAGTGTTATTGGCAGTAGGTAGAAAAGCTAATGCCAACAATTTAGGGTTAGATAAATTAACAATCGAATTAGATAAACAAAACCGAATTATAGTAAATAAGTATTTCCAAACCACCATAAATAATATCTATGCAGTAGGGGATGTGATTGCCGGACCAATGCTAGCTCATAAAGCAGAGGAAGAGGCTATAGCTGCGGTAGAAATAATGGCTGGCTTAGCTGGACACGTGAATTATAATCTTATTCCAAGTGTAATTTATACTTGGCCCGAAGTAGCAAGTGTTGGGTTTACAGAAGAGCAATTAAAAGAAGCAAAGGTCGAGTATAAAGTGGGTAAATTCCCATTTTTAGCTAATAGCAGGGCACGAACCATAGGTTCTACTGATGGAATAGTCAAGATATTAGCAGATAGTCGTACCGACAAAGTACTGGGAGCGCACATTATTGGCCCAGATGCTGGTACCCTCATTGCCGAAATGGTAGCATTTATGGCATTTGGCGCCGCTGCGGAAGATGTTGCTAGAACGTGCCATGCTCATCCTACTTTAAGTGAAGCCCTCAAAGAAGCAGCCTTAGCTATTGAAAAAAGAACTATTAATATTTAATACTACAAAAATCTTTAGCCCCTTGCTAGGTTCTGTGCAGTTTTCTATCTAATTCAACTGAATTCACTATCACATGGGTATTAGTTAAATGTTTAGGAAAAATAATGAAATCAGTATTATTAACTAGAAGCGTAGAAGATAATGACGATATTATTAGAACATTAGAAAGTAATAATTTTGGTTTGCATAAGGTCCAGGCTCCTAATCAACGGGTGATATTTAAAAAAAAATTTAAATATATTTGCTCCCCCTTAATAAAATATCAAGGGTTAGATTTTAGTCCTGCTATTTTACACAATTATAGTAACATAATTATTACCAGTAAAGTGGCCACTAAACTTTTTGTTTCACATTTTAGCCAGTACCAAGATTTACAGTACCAAAACAGCGTTAAAAATATTTGGGTAGTAGGTAACTCCTCTAATATGATTCTGAGGCAAAATAATTTTACCGTAATCTATATTGCTCAAAATATACAAGAGCTGATACAAAATATCCCCCCCCGGCTCTATAAGCATAGCATATATTTATCCTCTAATGAAATTACTCAAGATTTACCTAGCGCTATTGACAGACAAATTATTTATGAGGTCCAATATGCTAATACCCTACACCACATAGAAGAAATCAAAAGAGGGGTGGATTATATTTTATTATACTCGCAGAATAGTGCTAAGACCCTTATTACCTTGTTAAGAGAAAATAATTTGTTAGAATTGTTTTTTTCTGCCCAAGTTCTTACTATTAGTGAAAAAGTAGCAGCTATTATTAGATTTTTTACCAAAAATGTGATTTATTGTAATGATGGTAAACCTGAAGAAATGTTAAAATTATTGACAGCACAGACGCTACCCTAAAGGTAGTAAGCATATTACCGACTAAAATTTAACTAATAAAAACGCCGGATATCTTTCATAGCTAAGAGGAATAATGCACAAGGACGAAAAGGAAGTATTAAAGGTTCGTAGTAACAGCCCCATTATTTTTACTTTAATTCTTATTATGATATTTATTATTTCTATAAGCTATATGGCTTTTTATCAGCTAGGCGTGTTTAGGGTTATTCAAAAAGCCAGTATTATAAACGAAACTGCTAATCAAGATATCACTACAGGCCCCACTTCTTTAAAACTAGCAGACAATTATAATAATGCAACATTAGAGAACGAAACAGTAAAAGAAGTGACATCTACTTATTCAGGAGGCTTACAAAACATTAATAATTATCAAAATAATTCTCAAATATATGAAATGATTAAAGCCCCTGATTTACCAGAACAATCCTCTAATACCTTAACTCATAAGAATATAAAACCGATTTCTGTCTCTCAAAATGATTATCGTAATTACTTACTGAATGTAAATCTTCTAACGGCAAATTTTTTACAGGACAAACATTATAGAGAGCAAATATATAAAATCCAGGAGCTAGAGTTACCGCAAGATATCCAGGATATTCTAAAAGAATTATTAAATTATCATGAACATTATTTACTTAATAACAGTACAAAAGCAGAAAAGATTTTCCCTTCCTCTACCTGCTGGCTAGAGAAATTTATTAAGATAGAAAAAATCTCCCTCCCTCATAAAGATCAAAAAATTTTACAACAGCGAATAATGAGGCAGTTAGATTTTTTAATTAATTACTTTTACTCCCAAAAATTCCAACAAAAATTTATAGAGGAAAATAATGATTAGGCTGTTAATAATTGTTATTATATTTCTATTGCTATATTGTGGATTTTCTCTATTAAGTCAGCTCGATTCTATATTAACCATCAACCTCTATGATTATCATATAGAAAGCACTTTTTTTACTTTTATTGTGATATATATTCTAACGGCAATTATTATTTTTATTTCCTTTAAGATAATATTTTCCATACTAGATCTACCCTTATATATTAAGAATCGTTTCCTAATGCGCCGAATTCATAATACTAATGACCAGTTGATGAAAGCTATGGGGGCATTTATTATGGGCGATAAAACAAAAACCCGAAATTTTATTAAAAGAATAAAAGCTCCTCTCAAGAGTGATCATCAAATTTTCTATACTTTGCTTCTAGCTGAAACCGCAGAAGAACCAGGTCTACAAATAAAATATTTTCAAGAATTAGAACAAAAATTATTTACAGTTTTTATTGCTAACAGATTAGCGCAAATTTTTTATCAAAAGGGGATGTATCAAGAAGCGGAAAATTATGCAATTCGCTCTTTTTATCTAAATGAGTATGATATAAATACTTTAGATATTTTGATTGATTGCTATTTTAAGCTTTGTGAATGGGAAAAGCTTACTTTCATTGCCAGTAAGTTTAATAGAATTAACCGAACAAAATTCGAACCTATAAAAAATAAATTAGCCTATTATCACACACTAGCAGCACAGAATATGTCAGATAGGCAAGATATCAAAAAAGCCATGTATTATCTAGAAATAGCATTGACCCTAGTTCCTTCTCATTATGACGCGCTAAGTCTGTATCTAACTTTAAATTATTCTAGCAAGCAAAATCTCAATATTCAAATACTTAAAAATGCTTTTATAGCAAACCCGAAGTTTGAGATTGTAGAATTGTACCAAAATTTTTTCCCTCTGCCTTCTTTAAAGATTTATGAAGACTTAGCAACTTTAGTAAACCCACAACATCACTTAGGTTTGTTTTTAGCCATAGCAGCATATTTAGATTTACCGGATAAGGTTAAACAGTTAAAATCTTCTGCTGAACTGATAGCTTTTGATCCTAATACTTCAGTAGCTAGGATAGAAGCCAATCAGGAGCACGAGAATTCTTAAAATAGAGTTAATACACCCCCCCTTTGTCATAAATAGTATTTTTCTTAAAAACTCTTGATTTTCGTTAATATCTTATACTACTTCCCTATGGCGCCTTTTACCTGAACATATGGGTATTGGCACAGTGCTGCGCAACCTCACCTTTAAATTCAAGTGTCACCAACTAAATCACTTTGGCTATAGGAGTAAAGGGGGTTTTAGTACTAAAATTCATGCTAAAGTTGATGCGCTTGGTAACCCCCTGAAATTTATACTAACTGTTGGGCCTCAGTACATGACATAAAGGTTAACAAGGAAAAAAATAGTGGATAACGCATGATCAAAGTCCTATAACTTAAGTTGTCTAAGACTTAAGGAGAAGGAGAATGACTTCAGCGTTATCACAACTATTAGGAAACTATTTTTTTAAGAGTTTTGCAAGTATAAAATTAATCGAGCAGATAATAACAGGATTGTTCTATGTCAGAGATGTCAATCTTACTCAACTAGCTTTGGTAGTTCAAGGAGCTGGCAATGATAATTCTCGATATCGCAAACTACAAAGATTTTTTTCTGGCTTTAGTTTTTGTTATACTGCACTGGCTAAATTATTAGTAGCATTTGCCAAAATTGAATCAGAAAAATGGTTGTTGGCTTTGGATCGTACTAACTGGAAATTTGGCAAGCTTGATATCAATATTTTAGTATTATCAATCTGCCATAATGGCATAGCTATACCAATCATGTGGGACATGTTACCAAAAACTGGCGCTTCAAATAGTGGTGAACGTCAGAAATTAATAGGTAGATTTTTGCAAGTATTTGGAGTAGAAAAAATATCAGCATTGCTTGGAGATCGTGAATTCATCGGTGATGACTGGTTGAAATTTCTAGCAGATCGTAATATTCCATTTTATATAAGAATTAAGCAAAATTTAACTATTGGTAGATCAGAAAACGAATTAGTGACAGCAAATCCATTAGTAAAGAAGTTACAGAATAATGAATATAAAGTACTCAGAGGTAAGAGATATTTAGGTAAGAACTATAAAGGACCTAAAGTTTCTGTGGCTGCTTTGCGTAACGGAGAAGGAGAATTAGTAATTATAGCAACCAATGACAACCCCTATCAGGCCTTGGATATTTACAAAAAGCGCTGGGAAATTGAAAATCTTTTTGCATGCCTTAAGACGCGTGGCTTCAACTTTGAAAATACCCATTTAGTACATTTGGATAGAATAAACAAATTATTAGGGATATTAGCTATAACTTTTACCTTTGCTTATACTGTGGGCTTATGGCGGCATTCTATCTGGCCTATAAAATTGAAAACTCACGGCAGAAAGGCTATGTCACCTTTTAGGTATGGGCTTGATTACTTACGAAGAATATATTTAAACCAAGGGCAAATGTACAAGGAACTATCCAGCATTATTGATATATTTATCAAGCCACTAATCCCCAAATTACCAACAATTATATCATGTTAACCTTTATGTCATGTACTGAGCCCTAATCCAGTTAACTGTCTTTAAAAATCCATAAATTAGTTCCCATTTGGAACTTTCTATGTAATACTTCTCCATGGTAACGCTTCTTTTGTTGATCCAACAGAACGTTACCATTTCTTATCCAATTTGATTACTCTTTTTCTTACTCCTTCCTTATTTAAGGTGCACACAGCCTAGTTTAGGTAATAAAATAAGTAGCTCATTACGTTAATTCTGGATAAGGAGCATATGGGAGGATAATAGATAAAAGGGATTGCCAAGGGAGGCAACCTACAGTATTAAAGTTTTTGAATAAGAAAACAAACTGTAGGCATGAAGAAAGATATCACAGAATTATATAGTTTTATAGATGATTTTTGTAAAATCTATCTTGAATATGAAAAGAGCAAATTATTACCATCCAATAAGCAGAGAGATCGCGCTTGTAATATGAGTTTAAGCGAAATGTTAACAATAATAATTATGTTTCATACATCGCATGCTAAGAACTTTAAATTTTTCTATAAAACTTATATAGAATATTTACATAAGAATGACTTCCCTAGAGCCCTAAGCTATAACAGATTTGTTGCTTTAATGCCGCGATTATTCATGCCATTAAATATGTTAAGTCATTTATTATTTGGGCAAGAAACAGGCATTTATTTTATTGACTCTACAACAATTAAAGCTTGTCACAATAAACGGCGCTATAGTAATAAAGTTTTTAAAGGATTAGCCAAACATAGTAAATCCTCTATGGGATATTTTTATGGCTTTAAATTACATTTAATAACTAAACAACCCTCAGCTACAAGCTGAGGGGTTATAAAGTGGAATCGATTAGAAATCGATCATCGTTCATTGGTTCACCTTCTTGCTCATCAATATACTGCTGTATCATGTCATCAGTTATATTTCCTGAGCTAATTGCCATATATCCTCTTGCCCAAAAATGACGACCCCAAAATTGTTTCTTTAGGTGTGCAAATTCTTCCATCAAAACTCTTGAACTTGTTCCCTTAAGATATTGCACTAGTTTGGTAAGTGCTGTCTGTGGTCTATAGGAAACAAACATATGTACATGATCACAAGCGACTTTACCTGATATTATATGCACCTCATGTTCCATGCAAATTTGTCTGAGCAAATCTCTAGTTCTTTCAGCTACCTTGCTTGTGAGTACTCTTTTTCTATACTTGGGTATCCATATCAAATGTACCTTTAGATCATATTTACTATGGCTATTCTTTCTATAACTCCTCATATACCTTCTCTGATATAAATTCGTTGCTACGCAACTTCATTATATCTTCCCTTCGCCTAAAGGCGAGGGATTTTATATCCCCGAAGGGGACACTAAACAACCCTCAGCTACAAGCTGAGGGGTTATAAAGTGGAATCGATTAGAAATCGATCATCGTTCATTGGTTCACCTTCTTGCTCATCAATATACTGCTGTATCATGTCATCAGTTAT